TGTTAGAATAAATTCCACGAAATTTATCCGTATCACCTTACAAGGCTTATGCATAATTTATTTGTGGGCACAAACACAAGTGCTACATATTACAGGTTTGTATTGTATAAAAAAAATAGCACGTATAAATTATTTTTTCTTCGGTTAATATATCACAATGAAAGATCAGAATAGCATACCTACATATAAAAACAAACAAAATTACCAGTACTTCGAAAAGTGGCATATCTTTAGAGGTTGGAATTATGGATGTAAGATCTGTGACAAATATAATCATCATTCACATCTATATTGTAAAACGTGCAAAAAAGTAGCAGTTGGCATATATAAGCGATGTGAATGTGTTAATTTGTCACGTAACAAAGTGCCATTTTTCTAAATAAGTAACAAATTCAGTCAATTGCTCATGCCACATCTGTGCCAAAATATTTTTCACGTATAGACATCGATGTATACTACTATACTAACTCACATATAATTTAATTGAGAATTTTTTGATCGTGAAGAATTCTTCATGGTTTTTTATCATGACTTTTTATATGTATGATGCCATTACAGTCATTTTTTCGAAAAAATTATCTTAAGGTGGAAACTTGCTTATTTCTATACTGTTTATTCGCTAGATCTAAAAAACTTGCTAGAAAAGAATTACACGATTAGTAATTACATTACCCAAATCTAACGCCAGTTTTTTTCTTCATAAAGCAAATCTATTCGGCCATAAGTTCCATATACTGAATGTATTTTATTATTTTTTAGGTATATTAAACCTCCTTAGATTCGACGATCGCTCCCGCAAATGTGAAGTAGGTTAAATCTTGACGATCTGTGAAATTCCAAGTTCTTACAACATATGAATTTTGATAAAACTACTAATAAAGAACGATAAACTCTTTCCCCTTATAGACTTTTTGGGCTTCATTCTCACTACGGAATCGTATAAAATAAGAGAAAGTATTATATAAAATTCGTATCAGTAATATTTGTTATATAGAATGAAATCGACGTGCGAAAGTATTCTGCATAAAATTTAATGCGGGTTAGTCTGATTTATTCGAATTGAAAAATCTGTCATAATTTAAACGTCCGTGAGGTTATTTTTAGTGACTATCAACGATAAAAAATTAAATTACCATTACGTGGTTGTATGGGTGCATGCATATGTATCAAGACTTTTGATAATATAAAATGATTTCGCTTAGCTAGATGCTGAAGACATAACTGAAGTGTCGTTGTATGGTGGCAGAACAGCGGACCATTGCAAAGAAGTGAGCCTAACTGATCACACCATCTTTTCAACGAATGCATTACGTCGCCACACAACTGTTCAATAATAGACCTAAGTCCACCCTTGAACATCGATTATGACACAGAGTCAAATGTCGAAAACACAACAGAAATATCACCACAGATGAGATCAGGTCGTTACGTGGTGGCAATGGGGCGGGCCATTGCAAAGAAGTGAGCCGTGCTAACCAAAACCATCTTTATCAACGAAGCGCTAAAGTGCCAGCGTCGCCACGCAACCATTCAATGATGTTCACCCTTGATATGCCGGTCGTTTTCAGACCGGAACACTGACAATCTGCGAACGCGTTAAAGTTAAGAATTTTTGGACTGAAGCTTAAGAAATACCTGTTCGACCAATCAGATCGCAAAATCAGGTGTAATACGTATAATGCGAAATCAAAACAATGTTCCTATTTAAAAATTTCACGTATGATATATCAGATATATAATTTTTTGTTCTTATAAATGATAATGCTAACTTGGGTACGCAATCAACTCAAAGACCTTAAACCAGAGGACTTCTACGAAAAATTCAACTACTCACATAACTCACGTAATGTTGCTGAAAAAAAATTGCAAGAGCTACTTACATCAATCGCAAAAGAGAGGAATAGTTTCAATCGCAGGAGGGCGAAGTATTTGCTAGATTCTTTCGAGGTAATAAAAATTCCACATAAGCTGTTAACGAATATACTAGCTTGATTAATTTGCTTATTTTTTCTGTCAGTCGTGGATAAATTCAACCAGTTGCGAGTTGTATTGGTTAAACGTAGAAGCCTCACTTGGCAGAGTACGTTTGATTTTTTTGTCATTGTTATATTGTAATAGATTCTGGCTAACTACTTGATGATCTTGTCTTCACAGTTGACTCACGAAGTTACGGGACGAATTTCAGCGTACAAAACAATTAAAAACTTTACCAGAAAAATCAACGTTGAGGAAAGAGCTCTACCGCCATCGAAAAGAATTAAGAATAATAAACCCGAACAACAAATATGGGCGGCCGTCAATAGAAATCAAGCAAAAATCTAATTTTGAGATAATTGCGTTTTTTTGTAACGTTACACAAATCAGATCATCAAAACAAACAACTCCGACCTTAATTCCGAAATGAGTCGACCCTTAATTCCGAACCTGATTCCGACCCTCATCAAATCATTAAAATTTTTTCT